CGGGGGAGGAGGGGGGGGGGGTGATGGCAGGAAATCGCACTTGAATCGGCTCTCCCCAATCCGCACTCCGACCGCTCCTCTGGATGAGAGAGGAAAATATTAGAAAATATGCAGGGAGGGAGAGTGGGGGTGGTGGCGAGGTGGGAGAAGGACCTGCTGCCTTGACTGGACCAACACAGATCCAAAATGCAAAATGCCAAATCCTTTCGTAGGTACAAAGCAAATGCTTCGTAGTTACGCAGGATTCGGGATTTTGCTTCGTAAGGTTTTAACAGTGAACATAATGATGGGGCAGTCGTATTTGAATCGATTAGTTGCCCGTAGCGACGGCGATTACCAATATCATTTGTTTCGTAGGAATTCAACTCGATTAAAACACGCACTGCCTTGCAGCCTGCCCCTCCTGCGGCACAAACGGGCTCGATACCGCGCACCGCTTGTTGACGTCGCTTTCAGTGGTTCTGGCACTGGAAGCATTCCCTCTGTCCAGGCGCATCTCGTCCAAAACATCATAATGGGACGTAACAGCCCCATTGTGTGGCAGCCGACCAGACGACCAGCCGTCATTCTGCGAACTGGGCCGCGAGGGTTTGTGGGGAGAGGGGGGGGGGCCGCCGCGTGTCCGCAGCCTCGGCGGTGCGCGGGCCCTTTGGGACTTCCCTCTCAATCCCCCTGTGCGGGCTTTCCGCCACGCGCATCCCCACCCCACCCCGCCTCAAGTCAGAGTACCGAGTATCCTATAGGTACACATTTTGGGGAATTGACGGAGAATTCAAAAGAGTATTCATTTAAGTACATTTTTATTTCTTTTTGTGCAAAATTTGAAACACACTCCTCACAATGACCGAGAAACTCTTCAGACACAAAATTCTTTCCTAAGAAAGTTTTTTCAATACTAGCAAAATTTGATCATTCTTGTCAAATCCGCAGGCGAAGAGACACATGTGATTCACATGATAAAGAAAACATACTTCCAAAAATTTCTGGCTGACAAAATGATTAATAAAGCTGAAAACTAGCAAGAGTAGTTTTTTTCTTATGGCATACACTTGGTCCAATAACATAATTGTTTGTACATACAGTTAGATCAGAGGCACTAAACATTCATTGAACTACAAATATAGGTAAGAAAATTGACCATACATGTGGCACTGGAGAAGAAAATATTAGTTACCTGTAAAGAATAAGCAAAAATATTGTCCCACTTCCTCATCTTTTTTTTATTATTATTGAAGTACCCATTCTTCAATAAAAAAGAGGACAAAGTCAGGGACAGCTGTAAAACTCTAGACAATTAAAAAAATAAAAGCTTCGTTACAAAGCAGCACAGGAACTCAATAAAGTAGAAGTAATAACTCTCATTTCATGGCTCACAGCTTACTTGCAGATATAAATGGCAAACACTTCAGTGAATTCCAACAAACATTGAAAAGCTTAAAACAAAAACTTGTGTTGCTTTTAAACTAATACTACATAGGTAGTTGCTGTAGGTTACAACTTATCACAAGTTTGGTTCTATCAAACTAGAACTTAAATAGATAATGGCATCAAGTTATGATTTTCACAACATCCATTTAGAGTGTAATATGAAATGGTAAATTATCACATAATATCTATGGATTCCTAACACGTATCACAGGTATTCTTTGTCATTATCACAGAAAATAATATGACATAAATGAAACCAAATCGAGTTACTAAACATACATCCCAATACAAACCATTCTGACACACAAAACCTTAGAAAAAGGAGCTGGTAATATCTATAATAGAAATAGATAATATTTTCAAAATAAAAATGTGCTCAAAAATGAGACAATAGCAATCAAAGTGCAAAAATACTAGATCCACTGAGCATGTAATGCTTGAATTGCAGAGCATACGCAGTGATAGATCTAACATTGTTGAATAATTAATGCACGTCCACATAATCCAGCTCTTACACCACCAGATGGCAAAAGATATTTACTGCTGTCTTCTCCTCTTTCTGGGCTAAACTCAACCAGATTGTTGTTTGATTCGGCCAGTAGCCCATAATCCCAAAGCATTAACCTTCGGGACTTTCCTTGTCTTGCAGCCAACAAACACCTGTTTGAACACACTAATGCTCCACACACAGCAGCCCAGTGAGCCTTGTGACCCTTTCGGCAGCAAGGCTCATGATTTCTGTCAGCATCATACCTGATTCAAAGTTAAGGATTACAGTGAGGCAAAACAAATTTCTGAACTTCCACCCAGCACATGAAGGATACGGAACTAGAAGAATAGCACCTTGTGCAAGGCTATGAACAACAGCATCTCTGTTGTCTTGTAGGCCTGCTATGATTTTTACTGACACCTCAGGTAGAACGGCTAGAGCGAGACTTGCCATATCATCAACACTAAACATCTCCCCCTGATATGAAAAACCTCTTGATTGCGCTTCATTCAGGAGAGCTTGGACTGATACAGACGATTGAGTTATTGCTGATGCCATGGCTAAGGCCACAAGTCCACACCTAAAATGAAATTAATATTAAACCATTTAAAATGTAATTGTTATTTCTATCATAATACTTGGACAAATATTATTCTTTACTTACTGAGGACCCTCCTGGAGAATCGAAGGAAGATACTGATAGACCGTCAAAAGTGGTGATTCTTTCCAGCCTTCGAGATCCCATAGTCTGTTCCTTGTATCTACCAATTCCTGTTCTGCGCTAGGTTCATAATATGAGCTACTTTTGTGTTTTGATTTTAGTTGGGCGGTGGAGGTGACTTCATTGTAACACCCGGGAGTAGATGGCTTTGGAAGTACGGGTGCAGGAGGAGCTGGTATATTGGATGACATTGCACCTACCTGTGGATTTGGCAACACAAAAATCAGTTAGAAGCTTGATAGAATATTAAAAACTTTGACATACCGAAGGTTTATGGCTTTGGATTCAAATATATACAGGGTAAATGAAGAGGTACTGAGATGTACACCTTAAAATGAACACTGCAGGGAAAAGAGGCGTATCATATTACACCCGTCGAAACTCGGTTAAGTATAAATAGAATTCTGTCACACAAAGACACATAACCTCAACAGACTTTATTTAAGCTTACGTGACATAAGTCAAAAGCATATTAAGACGATGAGAAAAATCTAGCATTTAAACTAAAAACCCTGTCTTATTTTCATAACGATGAGTCTACTAAAGAACAAATTAAATAACATTACTCGAAAGTCTTCTGCTTGTTTGAAATGTGTGTTGACATGACGATCTGATGTTGTTGTATGCAGCCAGAGTTTATTTAGGTCAAGGTCGCGAGAACTAGAATTACTAAAGGACGTGTCAGCAACAATTTATCAGCACCAAATGTTATAAAAGTATGCCCTTTAGCTCAAATATTACGATTTCGGGGTGTTTAATCAAATGTTGTGAAAATAACGAAACATATTAGCAGCATAGAGAGCGCTGCGGTCGCGAGTAATGGTATGGCGCGAAACAGCCTAACTTTGGAAACAGTTGAGAGAATTCGAGGAGGAGGAATCTCATTACTTGCCATGTGCCAAACTGTGTTTGTTTTGAATTGTAATTGCAGATGTTAGATCTTCAGAGCAAGTCCTAAGCCAAGTGGATAGAAGGAAACTCGTGATACTTTCATTTTAAGAAACAAGATTAAAGGTATTTATTTGCGCTAATTGGCCATCGGTCAGATGCCCTCCCTCCCAAGATAGTCCATTTAACCTCGCAACTTTCATTGATTAAGAAATCAGGGCATTGTTCCCGAACATTCAGGTGTGTATCGGGGCAAATAGCAAACAAACAATAAAATAAAAGTAGAAATGAAACGAACGCAGCAGAGATATGCACTGCCATCGTCCGTTAGTCTGCGGAAAGAAAAGTTGGGAAGGGTTGGGTTGGGAAAAGTTGGGAAAGAAAAGTACGGAATTGGTTATGGGCTCGTGGCGCTTCGCAGAACTCTGCAAACAGATGAGGTGAAATTGTTTAATAATACATATTGAAAGGTCAATTTAGTCAAATTTTGTGTTTTGCTTGCGATCTCGCAGTCTCCAACTTGGTTCGTGCTGCTCTTGTCGTCCAATACCATGCTGTGGATTTAGTTCGTGGTAAAACCCACCCCCGCACCATCGAATGGCAAACGACCAAAAGACGGACGAGTCAGCAGAAACTGAGGCCTTTCATACGCCTCCCTCTGCTTCTGCTTTCTCCGCGACAGATGACCTTCCTGGACAAGAACAGCGAGCGGCCCCGCGTCGTGGCCCCGAAGCGCGGCTTCTACTCGGAGGCGGTCTCCAACAACCCGCTGATCGTGGAGGATGCGGACGCGGCGCAGGCCGCCCTGGGCGCCACGCCCAAGAGGGCCAAGCTGGCGTGGCAGGTCCGCACCGAGCTGTACGCGCCCGTCATCGCCCGGGTGGCGCCCGCCCCGCCCAAGGAGCGCCGCAAGCCGGCCAAGGACCTGTGGGTGGCCGCCGAGGACCGCTGGGGCAACGTGAGTGTGATTACGAGGCAGCCCTGTGGTTACCGGCCGTCTCGGTGCCCGTGACGGGCCCGCGCACTCTCCTTGCCGAGGACGAGCCCGCGCGCTCCACCCACACCCCACACCCCACACCCGCACGCGCGAATGCTCTCCCGGGTGTCGTTGAGTTTGGAGCGGCGTGAGGACGAATCCGCCGCCGCCGCGGACGGCCGCCTCCAGAGCACTCTCTGCGCGCGGGCGTTCATTTCCCCGGAGTGTATTCCGTCACGTCGGCCAGGTGATCCCCGCCGAGCTGTGGGGGCCGGCCCTGCCCACGGCGGAGGAGGCGCAGGACCGCGCCGTGACGAGGAGCGTGTCCATCGAGCGCCACATGCGGCAGTACGCCAACGTGAACGTGCGCGACCTGCTGACGGACGTGCCCCCCGAGCTGCTGGACCCGCCCCCGCCTCCCGCGCCCCTCGCCGGCCTCTACGACTCGGCCACGTTCCTGCCGCTGCACGTCTTCGACGACGAGGACTACGAGTGCAGGTGCGCCCGCGTTGTTGTTGTTCATCTTGTACTTCACCTTCACTTTCAGACCGTAGGTCTCTCCACAGACCTGTGGTTTTCGCGTGGGTGTACGAGCAACCCCGTTCCTTGCGAGCATACAAGTGTAAAGACAGGACAGTTCCACCTGCCCCGCCTTGCCACATTGGAGCCTGGCGCTATACTTCACCTGGGGAACCAATTTGAAAGTAATTTGTCGTTTTGCTCTGGCGCAGGACTTGGGAGGAGTGGCTGGAGCTCGGGAAGGTGGGCGAGGAGCAGCGGCCGGTGCCCGTGGAAGCTTACGTCCCTGCGGGCGCCGGGCCCGAGGCCGGGCCGGGCGGTCAGGTACAACCCCCTCCGGTGGAAGGCGCGTTAGGGGCGTTAAGGAGCTTCTGCGGCGGTTGTGGATATTAGAGTCAGCCCTGCCCCTATCCCCGCCCAGGGCTACCGCTGGGTGGATGCGGGTGCCGTGAACTTCGATCCCAAGCAGCGCCTGTGGACGGTCCTGGACGCTGGGAAGAGGGAGCTCTTCCTCCCAAGGCTCTACGTCCGCTTCAGGTGAGCAAGACGGAAATTAAAAAGTGTAGGACTTTAGTTGCGATTCGTTTGTCTTTCGAGTCGCACTTGACACATCTTATCGTGGGCACGAGGACAATATAGCGGGCTAGTAAGGAGAGCTCCTCTCGAATGAAACTCAGTTTCCTCGAGCAAACAGCTCTGCTCCCGCTCACCCCTCAATGGTCTGTTGCCTACAGGGCCGAGGATCCAGTTCTCTTCGCCCAGCGGCTCAAGGAGGCGGCGCAGATGCGCGAGGAATGTGAAGTGGCGCTCAGGTGAGTGCGGCAGTAGTGTGGGGCGTGCTGCGCACAGGCTGCCCGGGGTCCTCTCTCTGGCGACATCCTCGGGGGGGAGTCTTATCTGAATAGGAATGCAGGACCCGGTGCGGTCAAGCAGAATTTGCAATTACTGGGTTGGTCGATGCTGGTCAAGGGCGCGCGCGGGGCCGGGTGCGACGTGGGCAGGGTGGAGAGTGGCTCTGTGTCATCATAGACGGGCCCGGGCCCGAGCATCCCGGCGGGCTGTCGTGACTCAGGGGCTCGCATGGAGCGCAGGCCGGGACACCGTCCTTGGACACAGCAAAGCAATTAAGAGGGAGCGAATTATGAAATTCTGTAGAACCGTGTCGGTCCAGCGGCGCACTGCAAAACAGCAAGTCCTAAGCTAGGCGGATAGAAGAAACACTCAGGATGGTTTCACTGAGAGTAAGTAAGAAACAAGAGAAAAGGTATTTATTTGCTCTCGCAAACAGTTTTGTGAGAGCAACAAAAGTTGAAGTCCCGGGATGCTGGGTTATTATCCGGGGAACATCTGGCGTCTAATTCACTTACTCGACCCCGTTGAGACCGAGGGAAAAGACGCCCTCCTCTTAAAGCAGAACTCTTAAAGCATGATCAAGGCTGCTAGGTACCCTTGGGGAATATCCATTATTTTTTCTCTTGTACGATGTGCAAGACGAGTTTTTCAATATGACCTTTGAATATTAATTTCGTTGTAACAGCTGCTGTTAAACTCGAATGACACCGTTTTAATTGTTAAATAATAGGGGATTAAATCATATTATGGCACCTCTTCGTGTCAATGCCCTGTAAGGTTTGGCCTTTTCGTGGACTGCATGCCCGTGGACGACCTGGAGGAGATCGAGCAGAACAGCCTGGAGCGCATTCTCAGAGTGGGGGTGCGGGATGGCTCGCTGCGCCCGCTAAACGAATACTCCGTGGAGAAGGTCTGTGACCCCTGACCTCTGTACCTCTCACAGGGGGGATACAAATAATATGGGTTTCCCAAAGTATCAGGGGTACAAATATTATGGTGGACCTGATCCTTTTGGGACCCTATTATGTTGTGACCCCCCCCCCCCCCTCATGTCCACGTTGTGTGGGCACGACGCCTGACTGGACACTCAGCACCCTCTCTTTTGCAGGTGGAACAGGAGATCCGCTACTCCTACAAGCGCGCCGTGTGCGCCATGATGTTGGAGGCCGAAGTAGCTCGCCGCCCGGAGGTGTTCGGTTTCCTCGTTCTACCGCCGCGGCCCCCACCCTCTCCGGTGCGACCCCTC